TGCATATTAAAATTTTTTAAATTTGTAATCGGCTCGTAACAAGTTAAAATGTTTAATAGTTGTGTGTATAATTAATTAACGAGAATTTTAATATTGAATGGATTTAAATTATACTACTTTATTCGTTAATAATCGTGACACGCGATTCGAAATATTGTGACTTTATTTTATAATAGAAATATGATAAGGGCATGAATATTTCCCATGTATTTTCTTTAAATATGTAAATTGAAGTATAATATTCATCAATATAAAGTTAATTGTAATATTACATGCATATCCATAAAACACAAGTAAATATTAATTTTTTATATGGTTATTAATTACTTAATTATTTGTAATATATAAAATAATGTATAAAAAATGTTTAATTTAAATGAAAAATATAAAGAAATTTTTAATATAAAAATATACGAAATTACCGTGAAATTTCTGATTTACGAAAGAAAAGTATAATATACTAGTTTTGTTGTCATTCCAAATTTATAATTATATAAGATTTTTTTCAATACCGGAGCGCAATATATTGAAAATAAAAACTGTGAAAATTCCTAATGGTTTGGAAGTCTTATTCATGTCGCAGTTATTTTACTTGATAATTGCTTTATCATTAACTTATATTAGAAGACTAATATAGACACGTTTCTTTGATCATTAATTCTTTGGTAATTTTACGAGTCTAACAGAAGCAAACAATGTAATATAATATAGAGGAAAATTAGATTTTTCATTGCTTGACCTACTTTTTTAATTCTCAGAATACGTAAAGACTTTAAACTGACCTTCAAATAATTGTGCACAGTACGTTGGTCGTACATATCCAGGAAAGGTTGTCTCGTAGAGAATCTATATCTATAATTTGTAATATCTAATTTATAGACAACAAAAACATAATATATGTATGACTAACAGATATATAGGACAATACAGAAATGCGTGATGTACGTAGAGTTTTATGATATTTCATTCGAAAAACAGTGTATACACGACAGTATAGGACACGAGTAATTTTACATATTCAATGTTATAAAACAGAGCAGTTAGGAATTGAATTGAAGAAATTTAATTAGGGAATGACTCATGTCTAGTTTAGCGACAATGAAATTTATACAGATTGAAAAAAATGTATTGCAAGAGTCCTTTGTTTGAATAACTATCGTTATTTTTCCCTCGTTAATAGTTTCTAAAATAACAGTAATAATAAAGTTATTTGATTTATCCTAAAACTGAATCTTTTAATATTTATACTTAAATTGTAGTTCGAAAAATTATGAAATATGAAATTTGATTCGTGGAAATATAGTTCTTTATTTTCGAATATAATTGAAAAACTATCGAGAAAACGTAAAACATTGTCAACTTTCTAAATCATTTCTTCATTAAAATAGAATATTAATTTCCTTGAATAAATAGATAGTAATTGTGTTTGCAGTTTTCTCAATAATTCATGGAGTTAAAAGGATCTGATAACACATTCTTGTCATGATCAGTTGCTCAAATACATGGTTGTTATACAATCAGTGAGCAACACATTGTTCAATCATTTATTCAAGTTCACCTTGTTTTGATCGCAAACGCAAACTGTTGATGAATTAAACTTAACCGATAGATTTAAAATAGTTTTCATATAATATGCGTAATATGAGTAATTTGACAAGCACTATAGCTTTGGCCACCAATGGTATCGTTAAAATGTACTATATCCATATGGAAGAAGATTTTTTTCTTTTAATTTTTAAAATCTGAGCGTGGTACTCTTAATTTCTCTATCTTAGATCACCTATTTCTTCGCTCTGGGAATGCATCAGAATCTATGAGTTGCTTTATAATCTTTATAAATTTTAGATTTTTAAAATACATATTAATTATACGTGAAAAAGTTCGTTTATCTATTCGGATATCTTTTTTATATTTAATTATTTTCTGCTAATATAAGTAAATGCAAGATGCATTTGAATTTGTTATTTATTATTCGCGTCGAAGTAACTTAATCTTTTGTAGTCGAAAATGAAATACTTGCATAATCTAGTGCCTAGTATCTCTCTCAATTTCCTAGTTTTTTGCTAGTATTTCTCTCAAAAAATAACAATGAACAATATTAGTATTGTGTATGTCAATAAATTGGAATTACTAAATGTAGTAATAAGGAAGTACGTGTGGGTTTAAGAAACATTATTGTATAACAAGTGTTTAATTACTTAATTAAAATTACGGTATGGATTTTCAGTATATATATGGAATAAAATTAATAAAAAAAAGAAGCATTGTGTCCTCAATGGTACATATATACTAATATCATTCATTTTCGATGGATAAAATCTTTTTTATATTAAATTGTAATAAATAATCGTACAAAAGAGAGTCTTACTTAGTTTATTGATAAATAGTTTTTTGGCTTATCAAGTGTTCTTAAATGTGTTATTAAATTTTTACACAATTAATTTTTATTTATATCATACCTTTTCAATGATAAATTTTGATTTATTCAAACTTTTTATTACTAATATGCATTACTACAGAAAGTAAATGTCCCAAATAACAAAAAATTTGATATTTTAAAAATAATTTCCAATTATTTATGTAAATTGGTACCAATTATTACTTACAGATATATATTTATATTTAAGTAATATAAATTTATTACTTAATTTATATTTCAAGGCATTATTGATATTAAGTAAGAAATGATAATTATTCGTACATTAGGAATATATAAACAATGAATAGTTTTTATAAACAAAATTTTTTAATAAATACAATTTTTTAATATTTCATAAAAAATCATGTAGCTATTTAATAATATGGTTATTTATAATAAATATATACCAATAAATTTATTATTATTTAAAAATTACATTTCAATATCAATTTAATAATGTTTTGTAATATATGATAATAAGAATAAAATAAATAAAGACAGTTATTAAAATAAGTGACAGTATTTGATTTTTCAATTCTGAATTATAAAAGAAAATTCCCTTTATCAATAGTATAAATAGAGAAAAAATATTTCTTGATTACACTTCTGTTCGGTAAAATATTTTTCAATAATGTGTCTGAGCAGCTTCTTAAATTTAATAATAAAGGTTTTACCAATTTTATCAAAAGAAAAATATATCTTATTTATTGAATTTATTGAATAACTTATTGAAAATAAATGTAAAATTTTCTATATCTATAAAATGAAATGATATTTTAAATTTAATATATTAATACCAATTGAGAAAGATTACTTAATATCACATTAGATATACAATATTTATCGTAATGTAAATTTGGCTGTTTCAATGAATAAAAATTTTTATTAGAAAATTATATTTTCTGTGGTGTTCAATCAATTGAAGTGTTCGTATTTAAACATCTTATATAACTGCAAAATAATGAAAAAATTTAAATATAAAATAATTACAAATAGTAAGAAAGGATTGTGGTTTGAATGTAGTAATATAAAAAGAACAAATAGGTTCGGTAAAGGTTATACTTTTTTTAAAAGATAACCTTTGTTGTTAATTTTTCAAATATAAATTGATGAGTACGTAATCTTATTAAGACGATCGGTGCGAGTATAGTTTAACTATTTAATTTCACTTTTAATTTTATGATTGCACAATAAATGATGAAAATCTCGATCTTAATCGCTGCTTAGATTTTCTTTATATCAAAATAAATTCAGGTAATAGTCAATTATACTAAATGATTACAGATTTTGCAAAAAGTATTTGTATTTATGAGAGAAAACAGAATATAATAGAGCTATAAGCAAAATTGTTATAACTACAATCAATATGTATACGAAAATTCATCAATAAATCAATCTATTTCTATTCATATACATCGGTTATGATGAATTTTGTTAATTAATGATTTTCGAGAAATTTTACTATGAGTTATATTTCTTACATATATAATGCTAATTAAACAGGTCAAATAATGAAACTAAATTTTGAATTTAAAATATTGTTCATTTCTATAATTCACTTCTATATTTATTTATAATTAGAAACTTAATATCAATGATATAAATATAAAGGAATAATCAAATAAGCAAATAAATAATAAAATTCATATAATTAAAATTTTGTAGGAAAATGAGATCAATTAAATCTATAGTTTGAATACACTTTTCAACAAAAAAATATATTTAGTGTAATTTAAGTGTAATTATTAATTATAATCGTTTAATTTGGAATTTTGCAGATTTTTTATTCTATGATGTATTCTAAATAGCGAAAATCAATAAGTTAGTGGCATTCCGTTCGACTAATTTATCGGATGAAGTTATCTTTTCAATTAATTCACACTAAATAATGCGACTACAATTATTTAGCAATTTGATTATTTCGTTTCAGAATTTTCAAAAGGCTACGTAGAATAATATATATAGCACATGTATTATAGTACTGCAATTAAAATCTTGTGTAATTCGTCCTTTAAATTCTATCGACTAGTTTGATTGCTCCAATTAATGACAAAAACTTTTACATGTAATTTTTTTAATATAACTGTTTTGTTTTAAACACTTTCTTTGAATAATCTAAGCAGCCGTTTCAATTTAGTACGCAAGCAATATATTCTATTTGAATATATGTGAATTTCGTTTTCCCATTACAGAATTTTACGATATATTTGTGCATTGTTTTTCAACTTCGTTTCAGAATTTTAAACTGTAAAACTGGAAAAAGTTTTACATAAAAAATTTAGTGAAAGGGATTCTGTGAAAATAGATCGCTCTAGAATATCCACTGTACAAAATAGCGTGTCTTTTTTCAAAATCGTAATAAGGTTTTGAAAGTAAATGCTTTGTGCGACAATCTTTGTTTATTGATTCGACTTATCCAAAAAAAGAATAAAATATAAGTAGTATCTTTGTTTTTTTTCTTTTCCTTGGACATACAAATCTGCCGATTCCCATAGAGTTGAGGTTATCGTTTTATTGAACCATTTTTCTTATTTTATAACTGTTATTTTACAAATGTCTCGGCCTTTCAGGGTCACCGGAAGCCACGGCTGCTAATATCCGGCGAACACGACGGATCGTCCGAGGCTCACTGCAGCTGGTGAAGCGAAGGTAAGGGCGAGGGCGAGGTGATCTCGTCAGGGGTTGCCAGCGCGCATCCGAACCCGTGGTCGAATCGCGGCGCCGCTGTCCGGGCTATCTTAGAGCGCCACTTAGCGTTCGGCGCCAGCCTTGGCGTCCACGCTAGCGCTCAGCCATTGCTAAGGAGCCCGAGCGATGATCGACCCAAGCTCCTCGGAGGAGGAGAGCGAAGAGGATCAAGGCGTCCACCAGGGTACTGGTGGCAGGGGCCGTAGCGGTCCGCCCCATCAGCAGGCGGTGGCTCCTGGGGCCGGCCACGGCGCCCGTTATCATGCCACTAGTGGGCCCGCGGGTCCTGTTGGTGGGTCGACCGGAATATCCGGAGCCGGAGGTGGGGGTGCTGGGAGTGGCTCGGCGGGAGGAAGCTTACCGGGTCCGGGCACCCTTGCCGCCGGCACCGGACGTGCAGCCAGCAAGGCTGGGCTCACGGCAGTGGATCAGGAGGCTGCGGCCCAAGCGCAAGCCAGTCAGGTTAGTCAGGCCGGCTTGGACGTATCTGGGAACAATATGACGAGTGTGAGGACCTCGCTCTCGCCCTCTATGAGCGCCCATCATGAGAACGCGAATTACACGAGCAAGACTGGACAGAGGCCAACAAGTCCATCACCGTCCGTCTCTAGTGAGAAGACCGAACAAGAGCTGCAGGTGAGATATTGACGATGATCAGCTTTTGGAATATTTCTTGTTGAAATTGGAACGGTTGCTGGCGTGCTGGAGCTTTGGCTCACTCGCGCGGCTCTATGCTTTTTGTTTTTTGTTTTGTTTTACATCAATCATACTGCATTGGATCCTACATTGATGTTTTCTAAGATTAGGAAAGCTAGATTTATACATATTATGTATCAGTGTATATTGCTGCTTAATATATTTTTCAAAAATATTTTATAAACATATTTTATGATATGAAAATGTTTGGAAAGTTTAACAGTATTATGGATATATTTTTATTCTCTTTGTAATTATAAATGGCACTTTAATGTATGGAATATAGAAAAAAAAGTACTTGAATTTAACTCTGCTACTGACCGAAGTAATAGCATATTTCAATTTCCTCTTTACGAAGTTTCTAAAAAATTAAACAAATGTCAAGCTTTTCATTTTCCAGGTAAAATTGTACCTCGTCGAAAATAACAAATTGTAGTTATCTATTTTAAATTGGCTTAATTTTAATAATTGAAAAATTTCCCTTATCTACTTAATTTCACTTCATTTTGATGCATTACTGTTTTATACATATTTGTTTTTATATAACTCACCTAATACGACAGATGATTTCTATGATAAAAAATACGTGAATTTAATGATTCATCAATGCACACCTTGTTATATACTTAATATAGTTACTAAAGCTAACTATAATATTTTATTTTCAGTCGCGTCATTGAATAATACAGACGTAATTAATAAAGTAAATAAAGTAAAAATTGTAGTAATGCTAAATATTTCTAATTAGAGAACTGTATTTATTAGATGTATAAGAAAAATTTTATATTGAATCTAATAACATGTGAATGTATTTTTTCAAAAGTAATTCTTTATAAATTAATGCAATAAAAAATTTGATTCTGTAGTAATATTTATTAATATACCGGGTAAACTTTTTTACTAATTATTCCAATTTCAATTATTTTTTTGTTTCAATTTTTGTTTTCAATACGTAAATCGTTAAAGTTGACTCAATACAAGTATCGAGGGAAACTAGGATAATTATACTTAAAGATGAAGTATTCGTTGATACATCAACTACTGAATTCCCGCAATACAACAAAAGTTTGCATTTCTCTTTCGTTCCTTTAATATTATCGCACACTTAGTGAAATATCGATAATTCTCCACTTTTCATTTCGATTGCCTCCCACGATTATTCTAATCAATGTTTTATTCAAATCACGCAGGACAAGCAGGAACGCGAGGAAGAGGAGAGGAAAACGAGGCTACAGCTGTACGTGTTCATTTCGAGGTGCATCGCTTATCCGTTCAATGCCAAACAACCGACAGACATGACAAGGCGGCAGATGAAAATCACGAAACAACAATTGGAGACCCTGTGCTCTCGCTTTCAGGTACTTGAATGAAATTTCGACCTTCGGCTTTAAAACAACATCGATAATATTTTGTGTAAAAGCGAGAGAGTTATATTAGAAATATATGCTATTCGCACAGCTTTTATTGAATAGATAGTTTTATGTTAAAATAATATTCGATATATTGAATTTTTAACTCTAAGTCTTCACAAAGCATCCACGAGTACTTACCATTTCTATATTTATTAATAAATAATTTCATAATCATTGGCACGTCAATAATTTTATAATTAAATTTTAATGATAGTTTATAATGATCTATAAATTCTCACACTTAATAAACTTTTATATTCATATCTTATATCGAATTCATTTAATTATTCTTAAATAATTTTTATTCAAAGTATTATAATTCATAAGAATGTATCTTGCTATTTAAATAATTGTTCAAAGATTTAGTTTTTCTAAAGTTCTAATTTATAACAGTTTTAATTTTATTTTTCTTTCATTCACCTTTATTAGTTAAATAAACATATATGCAAATAATTAATAATATTTTTTCTTTTAGAGTTATAAAGTAAATAAACATCGATATAGATAAACATAGTAAAGTAATTATACATGATATTATAAATTTAATGTATTAATTCAAGAGAGCGTAAAAAAATGAACTTTAAAGAGTTTGAGAGTATATATTTTATTTTATTAAATAGATGAAATTTACTTGTTTAAATAGCTTTTAAACATTTTAATATATTATCTTAGCAATATAAAATAGCACATTACTTTAATTTAAAAAACTTATATTTTTTAAATTTTAATTATGGATATTATGGCACTGTCTCTAATAAAATTTATGTTTTTTATATTTTCTGAATATTATAGTTTAGAATTGTTAAATTATATTCCATATTCAAATTTTATATTAAATATTATATATATATATATATATTATATATATATATATATATTATTATATATATACATATTACATTTAAAACATTCAAGCTCTTATATCAATTTCATTATTAAATTTCAAATGCATATTTGATTGTAATTTCAATATAGGAGTAGCTAATTTGCAAAAATTTTTAATGTATATATAGTAAGCTATAATTTATACAAAAACGCAAACATCCCTGATCCAGCGTAATCTTCATTACACATTCCATCGAAAGATCAGTCACTATCAATAACGTGTTTTAATTAACTCTTCCTATATGCTGTAGATATAAAATTACCATATTATAAAGAGTATCCAGGCACAAAATATGCACGATAATCCTTATCACTTATCAGATAGCCCATCCCTTCATTTACTAATCCCTACAAATACTCACTGCTACATGCAATATACTTGTTTATAATACAATCTTATTTTGTTAATAATATTCAATACAATGAAAAGTCATGCTAAGAAATCTAAGTTTTGATAAATTAATAAGATTAATAAAAATTATCCAGTCAGCATCATAATATAAACAATAATCAAAGGAATGCATATGAAAAATGTTGTAGATATGAGAAACTTGCTACAGTTTATATGAGAAAAATTTTTTTTATATATCATATAATTAATACAGAATATTATAAATGTGGAACTTAAAATTGGCATCTAAATTAATTACATAATTGATAAATGAAATTGAATTCTCTATTTCACGAGTAATACTTATGACGCCAATAATTGAATGCATAAGTCCGAATTGTAGTATATAAATTTGAGCTAATTCTAGTAATACGCAAGGCCTTCAATTGTCTTAATTTTTTGAATTTAAATAGTTTCAATGAAAATTATTTTACCGTAAAATACTATATATGTATAAATTAAAGCATTGTAAGTTTATATACTTTTTAACGATTATATGTTTCATTAGGTGAAATTCATTATCTAGAAAACTGAATCGATAATATAGATAGAAATAAAAAATACAGAAAAAATGAAATTATATGATATATTATATTAGCGACAGTTTTAACATAGAATTATTTGAGCTCTACCTAGATTGAAAAAAACTTCTTTATTATTGTCGTACTGAATACACACAATGATTATTTGCGTAATATGAAGACTCAATAAATTACAGTTACTCGAAAAATTATATCTCTAGTCTGAATCATCCTAATTCATTGCATCTTATGGCCACTATTCGCATAGTATATTGAATTTTCCAATGAGCATTTAAGCTTCTCAAGGTGATTTATTCGCAGTTATCCAACGAAAATATTTCAATATAGTATTTATGCATAAAATTGATATAAATTATAAACTATTACAATCTCTTCTCAAGTTATTGAATATCATTTCAATAATTGAAATAATTATAATTTATTTAAATTTGAGAAGAAAAATACGTCATTTATTTTAATTTTTATATAATTTATAATTTATATAATTCATAATCTATGGAATATAACTTATAATGATATATTTCTTGAAAAATCTACATTCGTTACAAATACCTTAAAATTGACCTTTATGTAGGTTATAACTTAATCATTAATTAACATAACTACTATAAACTTTAATAATATTTGAAAGTAATAAAAAATAAATATTCAGCTAAATTGAAATTATTAAATTTATATATATATTCATATGGTTAAATTTGTAGTTGATCTTGAATTTATGAAGTGATACTAGTATCTAATTATATCTGGGTATCACAATTTTTAATTGTGTTTAAGTGTTTAATACCTAATTGTGTATAAGTATTTAAACACATAGCTGTCGTAATATTATGTATTGATACAATAAAGCATCTGTCCTGAGCAAACGACGTTTGCTGATGTCATAAAGTTAAATGTCTCGTAAATATAATGAATACACATACGCTGATAATAAATGTATAAAGGAATAATGTTCGGCTTTTAAAATGAATATTACTGGCGTTCTTGCATACGTGATAATATTAATACAAAATGTTTCATTTGAATCAAAGGAGAACGAAAAAATTGATATTTCATCACTTGTAATAGTATATAATGAACTGACATAAACTTTAAGATTTTACATGCAATACTTAACACATATTTAAGCAAGATGACTGGAAAGCTTTAGTAATGCACGGTGATAACATTATTAAGAGCAACTATTATTATACAGATTATTAACTATACTACAACTATGAGAGTATCAAATCCTCGATAGTTTATGCGGATATCCCGCTTAAAATGATTGTACGAAAATTCCAAGCCCATAAAAGATAAGCTATGTGAATGTCTGTCCTATGTAAAAATATAGCTACAACGTCCAGAAAATGAAGATCACTCATCCTCGAGACGATAATCACGATATCACATTACAGTAACCTCTTAGTGATCAGAAGTCCTTTCAATATTTCCTTTGGATAAAATACGAATTTTTCTTCTACATATTATTCTCTATTGATTCAGCGGGAATAGACAATCGTATATGCTAAAGTCTGCTAATCATTTCTATAATATAGTTTACGTCCTTATTAAATAATTTCTTCTATTATTAATTTTAATAATATTTTAGTTTGACGAAGGAAAAAAGTTGAATGGAATGAACTGTATTTTAGAATCTTCTCAGAAATGTCAATTTACTAATTACCAGTTAAAACATTATAATAAGCGGGTATATTATTTCTTGTAAATAATGAAAACTTTCTGTTTAAGTGTTTTTTTTTCCAAAAATTTGTAATTTAGTAATATCATTACATTTAACAAAGTAATATTAAATCAAAATTACTCTTTATTGAAATAAGAATTATCGATATTACTTTGTTAGACAATTATGAAATAAATAAAATTTGTGAATTTGAAGTTTCCAATAAGCAATGTAAATTTATTAATATATTGTTGCCGTATTATTATTTTGTAGAGACATTTAAACCTAATGATTTAAAAGGCATAATAATAAAACGAAAATTCTATATTCTATTCAATAATAAGTAAATCATTTATATCTTTGCAAAACATATTTTACAATTCTAGAAAAATGTTTAAGAGTTTAATGTCTTAAAAAAACTGTTTCAGAGTTGAAATGTAATTACCTATAAATACATAACAATTTCTTTAAAATTTTTCCTCAAATATGTAAAACAAATTTTATAATACATGAGAAATGTTACAGATTTGTAGGCACGCGCGTGCGCGTATGCATGTGTGTATAACGTACTTGTAACACAGAAGTTGAATAAAAATCCGGAAATTTGTGAAAGCCCCAGTCTAACAGTGGATATATTGAATCGAGTTCTATCGAGGGATTTGCAAATCGAATTAAAATATATTGAAAACCGATTACTGAGATGCAAATTATAATTTCTAGTGTATAAGGAAAAAGCATAATTAATTTTTTGCTCTTCTGATTAAAATCTTTCCTGATATATTATAATTTTCGTACTTTAATGTATATGCAAAATTCTATAGACGACGTATTTCGTTTGCTGATAGAAATGCTAACGGAGCTAAATTCTTTTAAAATCAACTTTTAAAATTAACGTGAAAAAAATTGTTAGCTTAAAACAGAAAATTATTGTATAGATCTGAAATAGCCAATATTATTATATTTGATTTTATAAAAATTTTATAGAAAATGTTTTATTTTATTTTCATTTATTAATTAATTAAAGGAAATTTAATATATGATATTTTCTATTTATTATAATTGAACAATAGCTAAATGAAATTTAATAATTACGATATTTAATACAATAATGAAAGTTGACATCGAACTTGATTTTAAGAGTTTTATTAATATACGTAAAATATTGGAAAATTTTACGAATTAAAATTTACCATTGTATATGAACGTATATATATCTATAATGTACCTATATTAATTATTAATTGTTTACATTGGTATAAATTATTTTGTGATTAGTACTATAAATATATTAATAAATATAATATAATAGTATACTGTAATCGTAGAGTCATTACCTGACGCGAATATGAAATAACAAAATATTTAATCAAGCCACTATTTTATGTTTTATACTTTGATATATATCATAAAATTAAATGAATGTATATTTTTGTACACACAAATTTAGTATATTCAAATTTAGTATTTAATAATATATATATATATATATATATATATATATATATATATATATATATATATATATATATATATATATATATATATTTAGTATTATTAATTTTTTTATTCTTTTAAGATAAAAATTGCATTACACGTAAGAATGCAAGTAAAACAAGTATGAAAGTCTTCGCTCAGTGTTATTCATTTACTCGCCATGGAATCAGTTGTGCAGAATATGATCGAGACTGTTTGTTATAGAAATAAACCTTGCTCTCAATTATTTTCAATTCATAAAATCTAATAATAAACAGTTGACAACAGCTCAATTGACGGTTCATGTATAATTTTCCTTCTCTCTCAGAGCTTTCTGAAAGGCGAAACGCAGATAATGGCCGACGAAGCCTTCCACAACGCGATACAGAACTACTACGACATCTTCCTCAAGTCGGAGCGCGTTGTTCGCATGGTGCAGAGTGGCGCTTGCTCGCAGCACGACTTCCGTGAGGTATTCAGGAATAACATCGAGAAGCGTGTTCGGAGTCTCCCGGAAATCGACGGTCTGAGCAAGGAGACTGTGCTTGCATCCTGGCTGGCCAAGTTCGACTGTATCTTTAAGGGTACGGGCGACGAGGACACCAAGAGGCCATCCAGGATGCAGCAGCAGTCATTGAATTCCGAGCTGATTCTGTCGAAGGAGCAGCTCTACGATATGTTCCAACAGATCCTTGGCGTGAAGAAATTCGAGCATCAGCTTCTATTCAACGCCCTCCTGTTGGATTCAGCCGACGAGCAGGCTGCTGCCATCAGGAGGGAGTTGGATGGTCGCGTCCAAAAAGTAAACGAGATGGAAAAGGTAAGACTGATCTTTCTTTTGCATTCATAAGTTTAGTCGAGACGAGGAGACTATTATGATTTTTTTTCTTCTATTAGTCACTTTATAATCGATCGTATAGAGGAACTCGAATTATTTTTTTTTATTTGCACGTGCAAATTTACCCTAATACAGTGAGATTGGAATTTTGGAATTCGAGTAGGTGGGACTTCGTGGCTAATATTTGAAATTCTAAAGTTCTACTGCTTTACGTTGATACTTTCACATTCACTGAGCTACCTTTTATTATTCACATACAAGCACCAAAGAGAGTTTATAAGATAATTAACAATAATAGATAACAATACATACAATCGCGTGATAATATTTATTTAAAAGTTTATAAGCCTCGATAGTATTTCTTGAGTGAAACATTATATTTTAGCTATATGGAAGTCTCCCAAGAGATAGTTATATGATAAACAGGTAGTCGATGTATTATAAAATGTTCGACGTTCGTGATAGTAATTTTCTAAATAAAACTTGAATATATATTGAAATCGCCACTTAGTTTTTAAAATCTCAATAAAATTTTATATATTATAAATTAATATTCCTTCAACTTCTTGCCAGCGTAATATTAGGCTTAGGAGATAGATCTATATAACTGATGTAGTAATTAAAATGTTGATGAATGCTTACAGAACCGCAAGCTCATGCCTCGGTTCCTCTTAAAGGAAATGGAGTCACTTTATATCGAGGAACTTAAATCTTCTATCAACCAGCTAATGGCTAATTTGGAGTCACTGCCAGTCTCCAAAGGTTCGATAGAGGGAAAATACGGGTTGCAGAAGTTGAAACGTTACAATCATCGTAGCGATCGCTCCCGCCCCCGTAATCAAAGTTCACTCGTAAATGACTCCGCAGATTCTGAACCCCAATTGACGAAAATGGACGTCGCCCTCTCGTTTCCGCTAGAGGTCATCGTTATGGAAGTCAAAGGGATTAAGAGTCTTGCACCAAACCGTATCGTTTACTGCACCATGGAAAATGAAGGTGGTGAAAAGCTTCAGACAGATCAGGCCGAAGCATCTAAACCAATGTACGTCATACGCTTACATAATCTGTAATGAAATTACGATCTACAAATCTTAAACGATATCAAGTAAAATCCTCTATTTTTATTCTTATCGTTATTATTATTATTTTAAAGGATATTTGCGAGGATTATATATCGCGAACTTTATAAACATTGGATTTATTAGTAAAATAACTGAAACTATTAATAAACAAAATATTGGTAAAAGCTGTCGTATTAAAATGCCAAATTGTATTATATCCGGCCTTATTAATGATAATTATCATACGAAACTTTTCCAGGTGGGACACGCAGGGTGACTTCACAACAATGCACCCATTACCAATTGTAAAGGTTCGCCTTTACACGGAAAATCCAGCCATGCTGGCATTGGAAGATAAAGAATTGGGCAAAGTTGTTTTAAAGCCAACGCCATTGTCGAGCCGAGCGCCGGAATGGCATCGCATGACCGTCCCACGAAGCAATCCTGACCAGGATCTTCGCATTAAAATCGCCTGTCGAATGGACAAGCCACTTAATATGAAGCATTGTGGCTACCTATACGCGGTGGGCAAGTCCGTTTGGAAAAAGTGGAAAAAGCGCTATTTTGTTTTGGTTCAAGTCTCACAGTACACGTTTGCGATGTGCTCGTACAAAGAAAAGAAAAGCGAGCCGTCGGAAATGATGCAGCTGGATGGCTATACAGTGGACCATATAGAGTCAGTATCCGCTAATCTTATGGCTGGCATGGATTTGCAAGGGGGAAGGTGAATATTAGTTTCAGTTAACTTACTTACCGCACGACATATCGATTAATGCATCGAGAGCTACATTAAAGACGTAGTATCGCTTGAATTTAAAGGGCGCACGAATGGAGCTCAGTCGCGTTTAATCCTGGTTATCATGAATGTCATTTTCACTTAAATATACGAAAGTACATCATTCAAGGATTATGTGCAATACTATTTGAAACTTGATGCTTTTTCATTTAAATTTTATTTACATTTTCCACCAATACAGACTGCCAAATTATTTAATTTATTCTTCTCGTAGGTACTTCTTCAACGCCGTCCGTGAAGGAGACAATATTGTCTTCGCCTCGGACGACGAGAGTGAGTGCCATTTGTGGGTGACAGCGATGTACCGAGCAACCGGTCAGTCACATAAGCCTACGCCACCCGTATCCGTCGCCAACAAAAGCTCAACGATTAGTAAAATTCAAGGTGATACCGATAGGGCGAAAAAACATGGCATGGAAGATTATATAAGTGCAGATCCATGCAAATTTGATCATGCCAGCCTTTTTAAGTTCCTGCAGAATGCAACGCTGGATTATAGACTGAGCGATCCATATTGTTCACTTGGGTGGTTTTCGCCAGGCCAAGTCTTTGTTCTCGATGAATATTGTGCCAGGTATTGAATGAAAAAATCATTATGCAAGTACTTCGTTACAAAAAAATGAAGAAAAAACATTTACTTTAATTAAAAAAAAAGTCATAAATTTATATTCAGTCATATGGCTTGTAAATAATTGTATTCGATGTTAATTACATTTTAGGTATGGAGTGCGTGGATGTTATCGGCACTTGTGTTATCTAAGCGATCTGCTTCACCGAGCGGAACGTGGTCTTATGATAGATCCGACCTTAATCCACTATAGCTTTGCATTTTGTGCCAGTCATGTGTACGGTAACAAACCTGATGGAGTTGCCTCCATCACTCACGAGGAGAAGGATAAATTTCAAGATGTTAAGGAACGATTGAGACAATTGCTTGAAAAACAAATCACTAATTTTAGGTAAATTCAAAAACTATTTTCGTTATGTATGCAAAGTAGTCGGTTAACCAATTTTTCTTCACTTTCATGGTTTATAGGTTTTGCTTTCCATTTGGCCGACCCGAAGGTGTATTGAGAGCTACGTTATCACTTTTGGAAAGGGTATTAATGAAGGATATAGTTACGCCTGTGCCACCGGAAGAAGTTCGAGGAATGATAAAGTCGTGCTTGGAAACGGCAGCCCACGTTAACTACGAGATACTCTCATCCGAGGCTAAAATCGGCGAAGATCTCAATGGAGAAGTGTGCGTTCCACCTGGTAAAAAGCTAGAAGATCTTATACATCTTGCAGAGATATGCGTTGATTTGCTGCAGCAAAACGAAGAACATTATTCGGAGGTATTAGTTAGGTTTTTAGAACTGAATGTTCATTGTTTAAGGTTCTCGAGACAGAGGGTAGCATGCTTAAAAACGGATTTGGTAAGGATCCGACCACCTCCTCAGAAGACAATCAATTGCAATAGTTTCTCTATTATAATTATGTTTTAAAAATTTTTTTCATGTCTTTATTAATCATTAATTAGTTCACAAATACGCCAGCTTTCGCAATAGATTATGTAAATTTTAATGTAATCATTGGTTTCGATATAAGATAAAAACTCTGAAATGTTTATAATTTAAAATGTTTACAATAATTTTACGAGTCAAGTATGAATCAAATTAAAGAAATTTCAATTATAATTTACAATTTTGAATTTCAATACTATTTTTTGAAATTAACTTATTAATTAATAAAGATTTGTGACAGTCATTTACATTTAATAATAACGTGAATATTTTCTAAATATTACGCAACTTTAGCTTAACAAAATTTTTTGTTGCGTTCTAAATCCTGTAACCTCTGCAGTATAATCAATGTCAATATTTTTATAAAAAAAAGAAAAATGAAAATTCCAATTGTGGGCCATCATTATTTGATACGGAGACAAATAAGTAAGTTTTCATCTCGCGTTCTTTTCATTAACACAGTCATAGTCGCTTACATTTAAGCAAGATTAGCCATCCATACGTAGTTCCATCACAAAACAGTGTCTTCTGGGTTCTCGAGGGCCTTTTGCCTTGAGTCGGCGTTCCTACCGCTCTTGGTTTTATGGAACTCGCCCGCCGTAAATGTGTATTGTCCAATATTTTCACGTTTCGCTCCTACTACACTGCACCGCAGGCGTTCGCCTGGTTTAGCGACCTCCTGGTGGAGCACGCCGAGATCTTCTGGGCACTCTTCGCCGCCGATATGAATAAAGTTTTGTCCGAGCAACCACCCGATACTTGGGACAGCTTTCCACTCTTCCAAGTGCTCAACGATTATCTGAGGGTAGATGGTAAGTTTTTTATTATTTGGATAATTAAATGGATTTGAATTATAATACTTTTTTAGCATATATCGAGTGAGAAATTTGTAGTATTAGTTTTCAAATCAAAATTAGACAATATTGATTATCGCTATAATTTGTTTAAATGACATCGATGAAGTAGCAGTAGAAGCAATAGTAATAATAATAATGATAATTATTATAAAAACAAATAAAAAAACAATGTGCTTATTATTAATGAATAGAGATAGACAGATTGTAGTGTTCGTGATAGTAATTTTTTTAATTATCGTAAAAGTCAATACAATTTTGAATAAACTTTTATACAAGATAATTTGTACGTTTGATAGTTTGATAGTTCGTGAGATAGTGATTTCCAATGCGAGATTATTTGATTATAAGATTAATAAATAAATCTTTTACGATAATATGACATTTAACATTATTAGTGATCCTTCTCTTCACTTAAAAACGAAATGGACAAGATGCTATTTCATGTTTCTAGTTAACTCTTAACTACATTGAAACGTTCAATAAATTCTTAAAACGCAGCCATTAAATATGGCCATGGAAATGTCCCGCAGTGAATGCAAAGGAAAACGTGCCACCTATAATTCCTAAAATAATATTGACTTTCAGACAATCTGAGAGACGGACGCTTTCACCAGTTGATGCGCGATACATTTGCGCCGCTCGTCGTCAGATACGTGGACTTGATGGAGACATCGATCGACCAATCCATACACAAGGGCTTTGAGAAAGAGCGATGGGAGATAAAAGGAAACGGCTGCGTCACATCGGAGGATTTATTTTGGAAATTGGATGCGCTACAGTCATTTATCAGCGGACTGCATTGGCCTGACCAGGAATTCCGTGCGCATCTCGAGCAGCGTCTCAAGCTGATGGCTTGCGACATGATCGAGTCTTGCATCCAAAAGACTGATGTCGCATTCCAGCAGTGGCTTAAGAAGGGTATAACGTTTAGCTCCACGGATTATATCATACCCTCAGAAATGTGCGCTATGGTGAACGTTATCTTGGATGCGAAGAATCAAAGTTTTAAGCTTTGCTCTATCGATGGGGTGGATGTGGTGAGTCCTTCGAGTACACGATCCTCGATACGCTATCAGAGTAATATATCATTAATGTATATAAAAAGGACAGGGGTAATGTAATGGATTTATATTATTTTCTTTAGTGAAGTCTGGTTGTAAAAAGTCCTGTCGCTTCCACCGTCATACTTACCTTATAATTTCCTTATCATTGTTTGCGTGAATACGGCTGGATACTTTACATCTACTTATATTGTAATCCTTACATGAATTTCTCGTAGGAATATGTTTATAGATTGTGAAAGGTAGACAGCCTGTACGTATTGTTACTTAAAAATACTTTTTTAGACAAATGCAATTACGTTAAAACACTGAAGACTGACAATTTACATGTTTTCTCTCTTGCTCTCTCTCTCTCTCTCTCTCTCTCTCTCTCTCTTTTTCTTTTCTTTTAATAAAGCAATTTATTATGATTTGCTAATAGTCTATAGAATATTACAGTAGGCTATGTATACATTAAAATAAAAAAAAAAACCTAATTTGTAGTTGAACAGAATCATTGCAACTCATTGAAATAATTCCTAGATTAAACAGATATTGATTGATAATAATTTAAATAAACTATCCTAGATACATCCGATAAAAATTAGAACTACAAAACATAATTTCGAGGCAGAAATTTTTTTTTTTAATCAAGTATAATAAAAAGCTTTATAATGATTGATTTGGCTTTATCTTACATTCAAGTAGATTATTTCGTTGCTAAAGTTTTTCAATATGAGCTTCAATTTCAATAGTAGGGACGCTTTAAATTTTTTGCTAAAGTTGCACAACAACGTAAAGTCTAATTTAACTCATTATACGAAATCTTGGAAGAACATACAACATTCGACGCAAAGAATTTAAAGCGTAGGAATAGAAGTGCTCGAGAAGATACTGATACATCGTTTGTGTTTGCCTCAGCATCAATATCACGCAAAAATCGACGATCTAATAGAGAAGACTCTAGCTGGAATGTCGCAGGGAATGATTAACAAGCTCGTCAGCATTCTCGAGGCGACGCTGTCAAAATTATCGCGTTACGACGAAGGTTCGTTAATTGGATCACTTCTCAGCTTCGCGGTAAGTATTCCTCTATTACGCTATTTATTGTATTCTCGTCCTATAGTGTCTAATTGAATTTGTTGATCATTTTGTAGAAGGTATCGGGTAGTGGTAAAGAAATGGGTCAAGCTTACGTAAGCTTTACAAGAAATAGCACGGAGCAGATTCGCAGCAAGGTCATCGATGAACTGTGGATTCTAAATTTTTTCGAGGTAAAGTCGCTTGTGCAGTTGGCTAAATGATAAACTACAGTGAAATATTTGTGGATGCATGAAACGTAGCTAATCGATTTGTGATATGCGTGAAGATTTTGTGCGCATAAGCATCGGTAGATAAATAGAATTTGTTGTCGGTATTATACCAAAATTTTTTAACTATTTTTTTATGAATATAAATTGATTCTCACTAGTGAATTATTATATATTACGTTAATAAATAGCATACGATTACGTTTGCAGTAATAAATACACGTGTTTATATTATTTTATAGCAATGGTACACAACACAGGTACAGTTGTTATGCAACTGGTTAACCGAGCGAATGGATCACAGTTTACATCTTTATCAGTGCACTTGTCTCGCTCATATCGTAAAAAAGGTTTACTCAGACTTCGAGCTTCAGGGTGTCATGGAAGACAAACTCAACTCGAAGACATATCAAACAATATCTCAAAGGATGCAAACAGAGGAAGCAACTTGTGCCTTAACTATGAGCTCCCATAACGAAGAGTAAGTTATCATAATAATAAATTATCATACTAAAAATGTTAAATTTTATCAATGTTTATACTTATATTATAATAGCTTTACTTATGGTACAAATACAAATTTCATACCCACGAGTTTAGTACTCCCATATAAATATTAGACCTACCCTATTTACACAAAATAATAATAATAGTGTCTTTAAACTGGCAAATTATTAATTAGTGATTAATTGATTGTTAAATCGATCGTTAAACGGAAAAATCTTCAATATGCTATTATATAGTAGATTTATTATGTAGTTTATTGTATAGTATATTTTACATTATTGTTTACATTATTTTACATTATTATTATTACAAATGAATTTTAGTATTATTGGTGAATTTCATTCGAAATAAATCTAGGAAAGCATGAATTTAGCATTTCGGCGAAATATTTAATTTTTATGAATATAAACTCATTCTTAGTATTATGAAAAAAGTTTTCATTGCAAGTAGCATGACTTCGTTTATTAGATAAAGAATATTCTTAAATACAATGCAAATGTGGACACAGTCATTCATCTTACTTGCTACATATTTTACAAGCGTGTATTTTGCAAGCAATTATCGTAGATGCGTTTGCAATGAAAATGTTAATATGCTTGATATAAATTATGAGTCTTGTGGTCCATGGAATATTAATTAATAACTTGAATAAGCGTACGTTTAATGAAATTCCTTTTATAGACAGGAATGAGCATTTTTTGCGCGTTATTGGCAGTGTTAGATTTATGCCTCAATTGTTGGCAAAATCTAATCAAACTTACTAATCCAATCGTATATATATGTATGTATGTATATATATATATATATATATATATATATTGCAGGAGACTGTCGGAGAACGGCAATGATGATGATGTGGAGAGGCCCAAGACAAAAGTAACGGTTGTCGAAAATCTAACGGGCGAGGACGGCATAAGCATCAGCAACGTCACGTCGAACGTAGCCAGCCGAGTTGGCAGTATATTTGAGAAGGGCATAGGCGGTCTTTCGACGAAATTCAGTGGAGCCACCAGTTGGTTCTAATAATCTTCATTACGTATGTCACAGGAAAGATAATGAATAAGAAACGCTCATTGAAGATAAAATTCTTCGCATTTACTTCTCTTGATAGGAAATACAAATAAACAAACAAGAAAGAAGTAAAAAAAAAGAAAAAACAAAACCAAACCAAAAAAAAAGATGAAGATAAAGTAATAATTAATATGTAGGTTTCGCCGGATGTAATAGCAAATAAATTTAGAACTTATGGAATTTCTTATAAGATCCGTCGATTAATTGCATATGATTATCTGGGATATGAAAAGTTGAAGTATGAAGCTCAATGTTGGTTTGTTAATGTATATGAGATTGTATGGAACGATCGATCGTTGGTGATTGATTGACGCTTGTGTTCTTTCGTTTACGCATAACGTTTTTGCCGTTCTCTTGACAGTTAAAGCGAAAGTATTTACATGGGATTTAGAAGTTAAAGCGAAACAGAAATGGGCGATTCAGATTGGCGTGTGAAGAAAAACAGAATGGCGCTTGAAAGTATTTCTCGTCGTAAATGCGTCATAATGTTTGCGAACGAATGCATCGCTTAAGCAGATAATACATATGTTATAATAACATGAATATGCCAAGGCTACTTAAGAATCTAATTGATTAATAATTGTGAGATCGGAAATGGCTAATAAGAGTAATAATACGTTTGAATTATAATATTATGAAAAGAAGCGGATATTTATAGTATCCGTTTGATGAAGATAAAAATATGTAAAAATATGAAATGATATTAAGAAAAACACAGAAGTGAGATAAATAAACGTGAATTTAATATATAGTAAAAAAAACTAAGCTTAGAATAAATATGTACATTGTATACATGCATACGCGTAATAAATGAAAAAGGAGAAAATCGAAAATGTAACGTGTAATCCATTAACGAAACGCGTGATTGAAAAAAGAAAACTTTCCTATTAGCTATTTATTGATCTATGGATTGAAAATTTATAAATGAAATAACGTTTGATTCTCATAAGATGTTAAGCATTGTTTCATTGTTCGGAAGCTATTTTTATTTTTTTTTTTTAATTTATAATACAATTACAAATACTAGTATACGTATGTACTGTAACTGATCTGTTGCAGTATTTTATAATTGTGATTTTAAGACAAAGAAAAACTAGAAGACGCGTGGAAATGTTCGAAGGATTCAAAAGCAAAATAAGATTTCGTATTTTTAGTCAGTAATTATGGCAAACTAATACTGCACCCCTAACTTTCTGCTACGCTTACGATTTTTCAAATTTGTTCGTAATTCTATCTTTCTTATAATTTGTGCCACGAATATACGTATACGTGTATTACGGCCAGTGTTTGGGTTTTACCTTTCACACGATAATAAAATATATTTCTGTATCTCTTTAATAAAATAAAGCAAGGAATAGATAATATGAATATTCTGATATTGTCAAATGGTTTGCGTACACAATAAATTTGTAATGAAATTTTTGACATCCATCTATGGGCGTTTTTTATTTCCGAGTTATTAAGCGTTGATTATTTTTAATTTTTTTTAATACTTATATCAATATGCACCAATATATGCATCAATATGCACAAATGAGAAATCGAAGCATTAAGATTAAAATAAGGTTATTTGGATTCGAATTTAATTATTTCATATACGTACTAAGTGAGATTGAGATGTTTATTTCATTAACAAGTTTAAATGATTTTAGTTTAAATATGAAAAATGTACATAAGTTATTTTCAAATTTAAAACTAAAATTGCCTTTACTTATAGAATCTAACATCTCAATAAATAATAAGGTAAGACTTCTAAAGTAGTTGTCATACTTTTCTACATAATAATTATAAAACAAGCCTCTAGAAGTTTTTTTTTCATAATAAATAAAATTCAAATAAACGTATAAATACAAAAAATAACTTCCAAATTTCAGTCTGTCTCTTTATATATATTCATATTACGTATTATATGCATACATTCGTACTTATTACACGCAAGCATTACATAAATTAACGATAAGTATAGATAAGCATTGCAGAAATGGAGGGGTGGGTGAAGAATTTTTTTTAACACGTAATAATAAAAGGAAAGAAAACTGTGCAACAACAATTAATTTCTGTGAAGATTCAGAGGAGTTAGTATTGATCGAAGACTATAAAACCAAAAAAACAATCGGTGCCTTTATAAATTTTGTCATGATATTAAAAAGTGAGGCTTTAAGAGTTGACGACAAAGTTAATAAAATGATACTTTTATTGTCTATTAATGAAAATGAAGAACTTCGCACTTTGTTAAAAATCTCAAACTTGCACATGCGTAGAAAATGAAAATACGTACAAATAAACTTCAATTGTTAATGAAAAAAGGCAGCCCATGATTTTAACTTTTTAACTATATGAAAAATATGATAAATTTATTAGAATTTGTTTATGTACATTAATATAAAATTGCTGTACTTCAGCGAGAATAGTTACATTGACAAATGACTGTGAATTTTGATTTAAAAAGTTTCTGTATATCATAAATATCTATTTGAATAATATTTTCATGATTTCATTCATGATTTGAGACGTAGCTTACTAATTGTAATTAATAATTCTTTGCCACTTAATTATAGTGAAAGGTTAAATTACGAGTAAATTAGACTTTTTACTGGGCACTGAATTCTTTCGCTTTTACAGTCTTCCCTATATATCAGATGTATTTTAACTTAAACCGATACAGCAATAGCTGTATGTAATTTTTCTGAGGCATATTAATATTAATAAAATTAAAATGATGAAACTTAGGCTATTGCACTTTACGATATTTATGACATTTCTTAATGATCTTCTACCATATTATATAATTAACCAGAATAATATAGACACGAATAATGAAATTCGTTGGATCTATCACTTGCACACTTTTCTTGTAATCTTCAAAAGATTTTCTTCTTGCTTGCTGATACTTTTATTTGCTTTTATCGGTGTAGTTTTTCTACATAATTATCGATTAAATTATTGTTTGACATAAGAGGAAATCCTTCTATATAATATTTCTCTTACAATCTATTACAATGTAGACATATTACAATGTCTTTACTGCAAAATTCTTTTACTACATATCTAATAATACCTTTAAATACTATTTAAAAGAATTATACGAAATAAAATTGAATGCTGTGCGCGTATAATTGAATCACGTGAAGTAAAGAAATCGAAAGTCGATCATTTTTCTTATTATGAGAATACGTGAAAGATGGGAAGTAGTAACAAGCATCTCGTTACCTGTCGAGTATAGCGGATTTGAGGGAACGAAACTGCAAATCCACGAGTAATTGTCGAAACACATTGGAAAATACCGTGTAAATATTTTTGGTAGCGAACACAGAGTTAAAGAAAAACATTGTTAAATGAAGTAAGAACGGAGTTGACGAACATCGTAAAAATGTGTATACTGATTATAAATTACGCTGAGGTGTTGTGCACTGCACTGCTTAGAGACTGTATTATTCACAACCGCTTTTATATTAGTATCTTATTACGGGAGGGGGTCGGATTAGTTTTTTCGTATTATTGATTTGAAATTCAAAGCAAAATAAAGTTAAAATATAAAAACGCAAAAATAATGGGAAAGAAAAATAATATTTTTGTTGAAAATTTCCATTAATCGATAGGGAAATAATTTTTAGTATCATTATTTGGTAAAATAATATTAGGGGTATTTATTGTATTTCATTACCGAATATTAAAAAAAAGTAACACAATCATATCAACTCCTTTGGTTTCAAAACAACAGCAGGTTAAATTTTCACGATTGCAATTTAGTTTTGTTGTTAAATTCGATGCAAAACATTAAATTATTTTGTTAATAATAATGTTAAATAGTTTGAAAACGGAATCATTATTAGTGAATATGACTCAGTCAGTTTTTCTTCTTCATATTAAATAATTAATTTACTTTAGTGAACAGTTCACTTTTCGACGTGCAGCTACACACACACACTTCTGCAAAACTCTCAATCAACCGTGCTGTGCTATTATTGAAAGGATGAGACAAATTATATAAATGTAACGTTTTAAAATGAAAGATAAAACTGAAGGAAATTCGGTTTTAAACTTAATGACTATCTTATAGTTGGATCAATGACGTGAGAAATGCTTTTGGGATATTAATTAATTATTTTTTCGACGTTGACGATCGCAATGTTATTCAACTTCAATTTCCATAATCAAGAGAGAGAATCATAAAAAAATTTCTTTACGAGAGTCTCTTTCAAATTTCTATGTATCTAGAATATACGTAGAATGAATACAGAAATTGAAATAGATTACATTTTATAAGCGACTACACGTTGTCTAACATAACGCTGATATATTTTCAAATATATTTTTTGCATGTAATATATACAATAATATATATAATCGGTGAAATAATGTTGGCGACTTTGAGCACATCTGGCAGACAAATTGTGTGAAAATGAAAATGATAAAGACTAGATATAATCGTAAAAATATACGATCGTCAATCAATAGTTTTGCTATACGATAATAACACTGAGACAATTTAAGTGATTTTTTCGTTAAGCTTCGATATTACATAACATCTCGTCTTTTCAAGAAAAATGGACCATACTCGAGGAACTACTTTGCCGATTCATCGGCAGTCATTTCGAAATTATTACTTATCGAATTCTTAATATTAATATACACTTTAAATGTTCTACTATGGAACGAGAAATGAAGATAATTTATTAAGCGATAAAGTGCTTAAATTTTACGAATACATATAAAAACTACATATCATTTTTAGAATATAAATTAATATATATATATATATAATGTATTCCATAAATAGTTTTGATGACGCTCATTTATTTGAAAATTCCTTTAAGAGCAAATATTTTGTATTATTTAAAAAATTATTATAGGAATTTTTCTTACATAAACACTTGGCTTAGTGAATCGGTAAAGGATTTCCTTAAGTGAGAAGCGAGATTTTCATAGTCACATTATAATCTATATTGAACTGCCATTAAAATGAATACAAGTATGAAAGGAATGGTTCTCATTACGAGCTTTCCTGTATTACTATTATATTTTCCCATATACGTCGTATATGACGAAGAATGGCTCTCTCAATTAAAAAATAAAAAGTAAAGCTTGTGTACATCACATTTTCATC